TTGTAACATTGTTGTTTAGTAGTATATGTAACAATGTTGTTACAATCTTGTACTTCTTGAGGTTATTATACCATTGTAATATTATTGTTTAGTAGTATATGTAACAACAATATTGTTACAATCTTGTACTTCTTGAGGTTATTACACCATTGTAACATTGTTGTTTAGTAGTATATGTAACAACAATATTGTTACAATCTTGTACTTCTTGAGGTTATTATACCATTGTAATATTATTGTTTAGTAGTATATGTAACAACAATATTGTTACAATCTGGTACTTCTTGAGGTTATCATACCATTGTAACATTATTGTTTAGTAGTATATGTAACAACAATATTGTTACAATCTTGTACTTCTTGAGGTTATTATACCATTGTAACATTGTTGTTTAGTAGTATATGTAACGACAATATTGTTACAATCTTGTACTTCTTGAGGTTATTATACCATTGTAACATTGTTGTTTAGTAGTATATGTAACGACAATATTGTTACAATCTTGTACTTCTTGAGGTTATTATACCATTGTAACATTGTTGTTTAGTAGTATATGTAACACAATATTGTTACAATCTTGTACTTCTTGAGGTTATTATACCATTGTAACATTGTTGTTTAGTAGTATATGTAACAACAATATTGTTACAATCTTATACTTCTTGAGGTTATTATACCATTGTTGTTAAGAGATCTTAAACTGTTGTGGGTTTAAATGTACCAGAAGTTCACCATGTAAAATACTAATCTGAAAACTGATTTTCTTGCCTGCTAAACTCTTTACATCTGAGAACCACTATAAAAATTGCCAATACTCTAAATATAAAAGTTCATTTGGATAAAATTCCAAGATCTTTCTTAACCTACTTGTTTTGTCAAGTGTACTTGTAAGTAGTACCAGTAGAATGACGAATGTTCGAAGTATTGCAAATTCCTTTAGTTTAGTGTTGAAACAACGCAGTTCTTATCATATCAATCAGTTATCAAACTTATAAACTAATGACGTCAAGCCCCAAAGTCACAAATTGCACAGTTAATCTCTGTGCATCATAATGTGTTTGTTAATCAGAGTATATCCGCTTTAGACCACTTTTGGAGGTGGAGCCATCTTTTAAAAATCTTTGAACAGAACACTAATGAAAACTAATTAAAGTTTTACGCTTTTCAAATTCTTTCTGCGATTGTGTGTTCTATAGAATGCTACTAAAACCAATGAAAATTTGACGTTTTACAAACTATTCCTGCAATCGTGTGTCTTAAAGAACACTACTAAAAACAATAAAATCGTCCACGTGTTTTTAAAATTCATCTTCCAGTTGTGTTGTTTATAAGATGCCAATCTCGACTGTTCAAAAAATAAAACCGAAATCCGATCTTCGATTTAACACAAATGATGTAATATATTCAATTGGTTGATTTATTTGTTATTAAAAAGTACTTTCTGTAGCATTGAATGTTCACTATAAAAACACAAGATTATTGTGTGAATATTAATAAAGCTATTAGCACCTTCTAGCTAATAAAACACGTTGTTTACGTTGTTTCAAGAGCAAAGACTATAATGAGTTAACGACACTGTGCTCCACGAGGATAAAGCCCTGAATATTTGGGTTATAAGTGTACCGCTGGGAGTTCGTTTGTTTTTTATTGCAAAGGCACATTGGTCTATCTGCTGTGTCCACCACGGGGAATCGAACCGCGGATTTTATCGTTGCAAGTCAGTAGACTTACCGCTGTCCCACCAGGGAGTACTTTCAATATTTAGTTCACCCTAATAATCACTCAAAGTGCGTCGTGCACTACGTTTTGTCTGTGAGATGTTTTCAATGTTTACTAGGGTTAAATAAAATTCGATCGCAACGTTTTACATATGCAATAATAATCGGCTTAAAATAAAAGGGTCAACAATCTAAAAATTTTATATAATATAATATACAACTGTAACATTAAATGTGGTCAAATGTGAGGGAGATGAAAATGAGAAAGAGAAGACTGTCAGCAAGGCGTTGTTTGAAATATTAATGCCAGTTCATCTCGTCTTTCATTGCAGAATTCTCTAGTATATACTGTTTTAACCATTAATGCCAGTTCATCTCGTCTTTCATTGCAGAATTCTCTAGTATATACTGTTTTAACCATTAATGCCAGTTCGTCTCGTCTTTCATTGCAGACTTCTCTAGTATATAATGTTTTACCATTAATGCCAGTTCATCTCGTCTTTCATTGCAGAATTCTCTAGTATATACTGTTTTAACCATTAATGCCAGTTCATCTCGTCTTTCATTGCAGAATTCTCTAGTATATACTGTTTTAACCATTAATGCCAGTTCGTCTCGTCTTTCATTGCAGACTTCTCTAGTATATAATGTTTTAACCATTAATGCCAGTTCATCTCGTCTTTCATTGCAGAATTCTCTAGTATATACTGTTTTAACCATTAATGCCAGTTCATCTCGTCTTTCATTGCAGACTTCTCTAGTATATGCCGTTTTACCATTAATGCCAGTTCATCTCGTCTTTCATTGCAGACTTCTCTAGTATATAATGTTTTAACCATTAATGCCAGTTCATCTCGTCTTTCATTGCAGACTTCTCTAGTATACACTGTTTTAACCATTAATGCCAGTTCATCTCGTCTTTCATTGCAGACTTCTCTAGTATATAATGTTTTACCATTAATGCCAGTTCATCTCGTCTTTCATTGCAGACTTCTCTAGTATATGCCGTTTTACCATCATAGTTATTCGCTAAACAAAAAGTTTTCACCCGTTTGGATTCTTAGGGTCTTTTAACACGTACTTATCACTACAAATGATACAGTTCACATTCAAGTCAAAGGCTGAGTATTCAGATCATACTTTTTGAGGTCCTGAGTCCCTGTGGCAGCACATTTCAATTCTCTTTGAGTGCGTGACTGTGATGTATGAATTGTGATACAAGTGTTGTGAAATTTTACTGCCAATCTGGGATCATTTTCTAATCTTTATTGCAGTTCTATGCATGGGTGCCCACAGAAATATTTTCAGGGGAGAGGGGGCAAACATATATATAGGATATCAGCTTTTACAGTTTTAAGCATAATTACTAAAAATGTTTAGTTTAATTACGATGTTAAGTTTACATCATGATACGTGCAATTTTTTCGTGAAATGTAAGGAGGGCAAATGTGAACATTCTATGGTTCTATGTGAAGGACATCTTTCTGCTCAATCTTGTATGTAATGATGCAGCTTATCCTCGCTTCTTCACCAGTAATAAGTAAACCAGTTTACTGATTTTTAAAGAAGCAACTAGATGGCGCTTTAGTCAATACTGAGCCATTAACAAAGGTGTGGCTTACTGTCGATATTAGGACTGATACATCAGACGCTACTGAAAAAAGCTTTAAATTAACACTGATATATCAGACGCTACTGAAACCAGCTTTAAATTAAGACAGATACATGAGACGCTATAGAAACCAGCCTTAAAATACAGAGCTTTCTATCCCCGACCAACAATGCATTTATATTGAAACGTAGTGATTGGTTGTAGTTTCGCTGGTCAAACCTTCGAGAAGTAGTAATTTCTGTCATCTCTCTAGTGTACAAGATTTATTTCAGTGTAGAAGAAATGCGTTACAATGTCAACTGGGCACCCGGTAGAATCTCGAACACGACATTATTGGAGGAATAATTTCAGAAAGGGCCTAGCTTGGCCTGGTGGTTAGGGGGCGCTCGCTTCGCGATCTTCGGGTCACGAGTTTGAATCCTGTCACCAATCATGCTCGCTCTTACAGATGTTGGGGCGTTGTAATGTGATGGTCAATCCCTCTATTCGTTGGTAAGGAGTAGCCCAAGAGTTGGCGGTGAGTGGTGTTGACTAGCTGCCTTCCCTCTAGTCTATCACTTCTAAACAATGTCTATTAACCCTAGAATTACAGATAGTGACATATATCTCTACCGGCTTTTTAAACACATTTTTATAAACTATCTATGCACTAAATTGATTTTGGGTCCACGATTTTGTTCGTTACAGGACCACTAATAACACACACACACATAATTACCAACACAAACACCAAAAATATTGCAATGTATTACACTAATTACTACTGATGTTCTCCATGTATTTTACATAGAAAACGAGTCGGTTCAGTCCATGGTATTTGCCAGCACATTACAACGAGTGATGTATTACGTAGAAAAACACACGGTTACTCCTTATGACGTAACACGTGGACCCTACCGGTAACGAGCGGTATGTTCATTAACATATTGGTAATTGGGAGGTTGATTAAGCACTTTTACGTATATTTACAGAGGAGGACGTGAACATTGTCCGAAATTCCACAACATACACAATACATTACTCCAGTATTTTTCCAGCTCAAACTGTATTTACACTTTCGGCCCGTCCTGGCCAGGTGGCTAGAGGGCGCTCGACTCGCAATCTGCAGTGATGGTTAGCTGCCTTCCCTCTAGTCTTACACTGCTAAATTCGGAACGGCTAGCGCAGATAGCCATCGTGTAGCTTTGCGCGAAATTCAAAACAAACAAACAATTTACATTTTTTTACGTCGAACTAAATAAGATAAAGTTTGATGTATGTTACAAAGGTTTAAGCTTTCTTAGACGCTACTTTAACAAACTATATTAAAACAGCAGAGGAAACATACAGACGTTCTTCATTAAGCAAAAGTTAGCACCAACTATAGTTTGACCGTATTAAAAATCACATGAAATATGAAACACGTTTAGCACCTGAATAATCTACATTACACAGACAGCTAGTACACGAAATGATAATTATGTATCAGAAGCTACGTCATGATTAAAGTGTTACTAAACTTGCACAATTTGAAAATTTATCGTAAATTTGATCTCTTTCTTCGCACGTATATATATAATACACATATACAAAAACGCACGCACTTGAGTGATAAACTAACATTTTCCATCGAAACAGCAATCTTTTTAATACCGTATCAAAGGGAACAAGAACAGGAAACTGAACTTACTGGTTGTAATTTTCGTATAGTTCCATTTCCTTCTTCTTTGATTCGTGTTTTCCTTCTTAACTGCTACTACTTGATATAAGTCGACTTACAATTACAACCACAAGTGGCAGCTCGGTCTGAGCTAACTTACAATTTTATGTCAAATGTTACAGTAAACAATGGTTGCTGAATCAAAATCATTTGGTTGAGAAAGTTTGGTACGTAACATCTAATCGATAACACCTTTACTGGGGTTATTACTGCGCATGCGTTATAGCTTGATAAACCTGTATCCTGGAGACGAAAATACTTTATATACTTTTCATATCAATAGGAAATGATTATTTCTACATGGCACTGAATCTACTTAGAGTTGAAACTTGTCTCTATATATTCTAACATTATTGTGCTTGTTTCTGAGTACGAGCAAAGCTACTCAAATGACTGTGTCCCCAAAATCTGTCCGTAATTTTGAATTAAGCTACTATAGAGAAGGAAATTAGTTAAAAACATATACCGCCAATTCTTGGAATACCATAACCGAATAGTGGGATTCATTCATACCGAAACCACAGCCACAAAGTTCTAAATGCGTTTGTGTGACAACGAGACACTAATTAGGAATCCTCGTATTCACAGTGCGGGCACGCTAACACTAGGCTATGATTGGTAGCTCCCGCCTTAATATAAATAAATTTACGTAAAAGCAGTTAGAAATTATAAATGGTTCATGGCAACAACACTTGCACAAAAGTTTGAGTACGTTTTATTAAAACGATTTTGGAACCTCATCATGTTGTTATAGTCCATGTCGCCACGCTAGTTGGGCTCTATGCTATCACGTCGAAAGCACACCACTCTTGCTTGAGAGCTTTCCATAATCCATCTAGTGTACAAGGATGATAGTTTCCCAGCACCATTTCAACATTCTGATAGCACAGAAATCCATAGACGCTGCGTACATCGACCAGACAGATATGCCTTTATATGGAATAGCATGAAAACCAGTTTCATTCTCCAGCTTTTTAAGGAATACGACCATTGAACAAATAATTCGTGGAAGCATCTTTTATCGCTTTTCCAGATGGAGATCTTCTTTGATTATGTTGCATACTGTTACTTGGAACACGTGAACAACACTTTGCTTCCCATGGCTATGATATAATCGGTTGCAGATCTCTTTCTGGAAAGTCCTGGGTCTCCAAGATGATCCATATTTATTTGTTTGCCAATACCATTAAGTAAAAAGACATTCCTATGTTCGAAATTATAAATCCCCGATTTGAACACATTTTTATGATCTAAGTGTATAACTATTTTGTGTCGAAAAAGGCTGTTACATACTATTCTCGAAAACGTCACGCCATTCCATCGAGACTTTGTATCGACTATGATTTACTGATTTGCATACTCAAAATCCTTTTAATATAACATAACTATCCTCAGTAAGAGCTTAAAGTATGTAGTCTTAAATATTATTAGAAATATTTTAAAAACAGTTAAAGAATAATCACATTCATAAAATGATTTCTAAGTCTATGAGTAAATACAGACAAAATGTGAATATCAATTATAAGAAAATAAAAATAAAGTTAAAATGAAAAGGTGCATATTATTTTCAATATATGTGTAATGATAAGCAATAGGGTTTTGTTAGCTAAATCTTTCTGAACAAAATAAACGTTGCATGTTTTTTCTAAATGAAATCAGTGCTCCAATTTTCAAGTAGGATATGATCAACATTAGATGTTTGATTTAGTTGAAATATGTATTTCATGTTTTGAGTTGATAAAGTATTGTTTCCTGTTTAAGTTGATTAAAACAAGTTCTGTATGTGTAGTGTTGAATAAAATCAATGTTTCATGACGTGTTTTGAGTTGAATAATGACAGTATTTCATCCTATGAGTTGGTGGGAGTCAAAGTTGTATGAGTAGTGTTGAATAAAACCAATATTAGGTGTTTTGAGTTGAATAAAATCAACGTTGCATGTTTTTAGTAGCACTAGTAATTAAGTGACAATAAAATTAGGAGCTAAGATATTTCACCTGGATGTTAATTTATTTCTTCTCTTGCTGTCATCTAAACATAAACACAGCACTTTTGTATTGACATAGAAGACGTATATTGTAAGCCTTTGACGATAGTAAAGAACCGAAGGCAAGAGAAAACATACGAGAATTTGACACAAAATGTACATTTCGAAAAACGTTTTTTTTTATATGGAGAAAAGGTTATTCAATACTGTACTGTGTTTTTGTTTTAGTACAAAGCTGTAGAATGGTGAGGGCTATCTGCGGTACAAAGCTGTAGAATGGCGAGGGCTATCTGCGGTGCAAAGCTGTAGAATGGCGAGGGCTATCTGCGGTGCAAAGCTGTACAATGGCAACAACTATCTGTGGTACAAAGTTGTACAATGGCGACAACTATCTGTGGTACAAAGCTGTACAATGGCGACAACTATCTGTGGTACAAAGCTGTACAATGGCGACAACTATCTGTAGTGCAAAGCTGTACAATGGCGACAACTATCTGTGGTACAAAGTTGTACAATGGCGACAACTATCTGTGGTACAAAGTTGTACAATGGCGAGGGCTATCTGTGGTGCAAAGTTGTACAATGGCGACAACTATCTGTGGTACAAAGTTGTACAATGGCGACAACTATCTGTGGTACAAAGTTGTACAATGGCGACAACTATCTGTGGTAAAAATCTGTACAATGGCGACAACTATCTGTGGTACAAAGCTGTACAATGGCGACAACTATCTGTGGTACAAAGTTGTACAATGGCGACAACTATCTGTGGTACAAAGTTGTACAATGGCGACAACTATTTGTGGTACAAAGTTGTACAATGGCGAGGGCTATCTGTGGTGCAAAGTTGTACAATGGCGAGGGCTATCTGCGCGCTGTGTCTGCCGTGAGGTTTAAACTTGAATTATAGCGTTAAAACCCTTAAGAATTTAGTAAATATTATTTATTAGTTAGATTTTTTTTTAGACAGAGATGTTTTCGTTTTCTTTACTTAATATCATATGTAAATTATTTCAGAGCATATTAAAATAAACGTAATACAGATTTATAATTCTATCTATCTTATACGAGAACTTCAACACGTTTTCACGTTCCACCATGACTTCTCCACAGTCACTGAGTTATATCGAGTGTTTAATCACTACTGCTATTTCAAGATAAGAACAGGATAAAATAGTTTCGTGTCATGCCATGAAAGGTAAACATTACGGACCTTTGTATCTAGTCAAAACGAGAAATAATAATATAAAAACGACAAAGTTTTCGCTGATTTCAAGTAACTTCTATGGTAAAGTAGAATATTTTTCAGAGTAAGAAAAAAAAAACAATTTATATATTTTTTTTATGGATGACATAATCGACTATAGAAGTTTTGTGATGAAAGTTTAAAACCAGAGTAATATCCCAACAACCTTCGTACAGAGGGAGAGCTCTGCAAACACACCTATCTATATATCTATTTTGTGAAAATATCATTCAGAACAATTATTCGAAAACAGTCGCGTCTAATAGTTTTGGTTTCATTTTCTTCTTATGTTGCTGTAGTAAGACCTCAAAGCTAGACAAAAAAAAAAAATTGTAGAAAAATAAAAGGCAAAAATTGAATGATAACGACTCAGTATTTGCTCCTTT